AAATTCTCAAGAAATTCAAGATGGAAGATTGTAAATTGGTGAACACACCCATAGAAGTTGGAATTAAATTGTCGAGAGATAAAGATGGAAAAACGGTGGATCCAACATTTTTCAAAAGTCTTGTTGGAAGTTTGAGATACTTAACATGCACAAGGCCGGACATATTATATGCAGTTGGGCTTATTAGTAGGTGACCTACCATAACTCATTTCAAGGCGGCTAAGAGGATTCTTCGTTACATCAAATGTACCATTGATTTTGAGTTATTCTATTCATTTTGTAATAATTTCAAGCTTGTGGGCTATTGTGATAGCGATTGGGCCGGAGATTTGGATGATAGAAAAAGTACTTCAGGCTATTGTTTTTTCATGGGAAATACTACTTTTACATGGTGTTCAAAGAAGCAACCCATTATCACCCTCTTAACTTATGAAGTGGAATATGTTGCAGCCACTTCATGTGTTTGTCAAGAAATTTGGTTGAGGAATTTGTTGAAGAAATTACACATGCTACAAGAAAAGTCAACAGAGATTTTTGTGGACAACAAATCAACAATTGCTTTGGCCAAGAATCCGGTGTTTCATGAACGAAGCAAGCATATTGATATAAGATTTCATTAGAGAATGCATAACCAAGAAGGAGGTGGAGCTCAAGTTCATCAAGTCAGAAGATCATATTGCGGATATTTTCACCAAGCCCCTCAAGTTTGTAGAATTTCACAAGTTAAGGAGTTTACTTGGAGTTGAAAAAAAGTCAAGTTTAAGGGGGGGTGCTAGAAATTAAACTTGATTATATTTTTAAATGTCTTTGAAGGTTATGGATGTTTTTTTATTTGATGTTTATGTGAGTTTTTATTGGAGTTAGTGGGGGACATGAGAGTTACAACTAGTAATGGTCATGTTAGTGGGTTAGTGAGAGTTTTGCCTACTAAATGTTATGTTAGTGGGGTGTTAATTTTTCATTTATATTTATGTTTTGAAGCCTATATAAACCTATGTATTATATCGGCCATTTTCAATCAAGTGAAGTAAAAGTGTTTTTCCTCCATTTTTATTCTCTTCCAAATAGTATAGTGTTGTGTGTGTAACTAGGCCACTATTTCCAACATTTAACACACATTCTTTCCTAATAAAGTCAATTTATTTCTTTTAGCATTTTAGTTTTAAATATTTGGTATGTAATTTGTGGCATTTTGCTAAACTGTTTTAGAATTTTTTTTTTACTTTTTGATTATTGGCTCTTAATAGTAGTCAGAAATTATTTTTTAATTATTTAATTATACTGCAGATTAATGGATGAGATGAATTATGTAAGCTTAAGTAGTGAGCCATCGGATAGTTGTGAAGTTGATAACCACGCTCCGTCTCCGACTAATGATGAAGGAAAGAAATCCAAGAAACAAAAGATGAACCAGAACTAGGAATGGAGTTTAGTTATGGTGATGAAGCATATAAGTTCTACCTCAACTATGGTGGTAAACTTGGCTTCAATGTAAAAAGAAATCATCAGAGAAAAAATGCATAGGGGGTCGTGAGGAGGGTTAGTTTTGTTGTTCAAAAGAAGGTAAAAGATCATATGACATGCCTACGTCAAACCAATGGCAAATTCAATTCAAGATTGTGTCATTAAACACAAGTCATAATTATGAAGAATATGTTGAGAATTAATCAAACTATTTCTAAGGCTCAAAAAGCATATGGTGAAGATGCAGACAAGTCGGGATTATCGATAAAAACAATTGCGACGTTAATAAAGAAAGAAGTTGGGGGGAGAGAACATCTTGGGTTTTTAGATAAAAATTACTAAAATTACATACATAAAAAGCGAAAGATGGCAATGGAAATTAAGAGGGGATGCCGGGGCCATATTGCAATACTTTCACGATATGCAGCTAAAGGATTCATCATATTTTTATTTAATACAGCTCGATGAGGATGATATGATTCCTAATATTTTTTGGGCCGATGCACACTCAATTAATGACTATAGCTTCTTTGGAGATGTTGTGTGCTTTGACATTACTTATGAGATAAATGAATTGGTCAGCCTTTTGCACCAATTATTGGTGTGGATTATCATAAGCAAATAGTCGTGTTTGGTGCAACTTTATTTTATGATGAAATCACTGAATCATGTAAGTGGTTGTTTGAGACTTTCCTTGGTGCAATGTCTGAAAAGCAATCTAAGACATTCTCACAGATCATGGTTATCAAAATCGCGATTCTGAGTGGTAGAATCGCACGATTCTACGACTCAAATCTGAAAATCGACTCAAATCGCAATAGAATCGCCCAATCGGTACAATCGGGGGCAGAATCGGTAGAATCATTGGTAGAATCGTAGAACCATACAATTGTACACGATTCTACCGATTCCACCAAAATGGGTGTTTGGACGGGCCTTTATACTATTTGGTCTTTGGGCCTTTATTCTGTTAGTTGTTTGGGCCAAAGCCTGGCCCAAATATTGTGTAGAAAGTTATTTACCAAATTATATATTTAATTATTTATTCTATAAATTATAAAATACAAAACCCTACTCTATTATAGAATTAGAAACGGGAACCCTACTCTGAAAGGAGTGAGGACTGAGAGGAGGCGGCAGTGCAGAGGCTCATAGCGAGCAGATCGGATCCATACAGCAGCTTACAGGTTCAGCCAGGTATGTTACTATGTTCTATATTTATTTTCTTCATTGATCAAGAAATTTCAAGAGTTTTCTCTAATCTCTAATCTCTATAACCCTTCATAGCTTGATTATTCTAAGATTGTAACCTTTTATCTACTTGTTCTTAGAAATTATTCATATTGTTCTGATAATCTTTTGCATTAATGGTTTAATTTTACTTTGAATAGGAAAAATAGTTTTGGCTAATAAGTTGATTTGGATCAATTTTTAAAGTTTTGACTATCTTTTTCGATTTATGTAGTTTTTGTTTTAAGTTTACCTGGCCACTTAAATTTTTATCACTATTTTTTAGAGCTTTTACTATGGCTAATTGAGCTCTAGCTGAATATTTTTCTTGATTATTCAAGATTTGGTGTAGCTTCTTCCCTAGGTTTGTAATTGTAGAGTTATCAAAGTCTTGACTTATGGAATCAAATTTCTTGTTTTGATTTAAGATTTCGTAAATTTGGTTTTTCTTCTAAATTTGACTTGATTAAATACAATATATAATTGTATAATTGCTAAGATTTTAAGATTACCAGTTGATGAATATATAATTGCTAAGACTTTAAGATTACCATTACAAAATTCTAGAGGTGTCATGGTAATATGAACAAGGCATATTAATTGTTTATTCAAGCTTGTTGCTCGGTGTAATGGTAATCTGAACAAGGCATATTAATAGCTTTCTTTTGTAGATAATTTATCAATTCTAGGGGTGTCCTTGCTACCTGAACTCTGAAGTTCTCAATTTTTTCTCCTTTGTTAGAATGCTCAAACACTAGTTATATGAATTATATGAATGCAAAACTTTTGATTGACAAAGTTCAAGAAAGGATGAAGAAGATGATTCCGATGGAGAAGATGAAGTAGAAAGGATGACTAGGACACGTAAGAACTTAAACTTTAAACTTTTATTATAATATTGTATAAATTATTACATTATATTAATTTTTGTTCTTTTTTTATGCTTTGTAGTTGAGGAAATTTATGCAATTGATGATAATGAATATTTGTAGCCATTAAATCCTATTGATGAAGCTAATGAGGAAGATGGTGAAGGGTTCAATGATGACTTTATGGATATGTAATTTTAGTTTCTAACTTTAGAAAGGGATGAGTTAGGATTTAAGATTTGTGGACTATGTTATTTTGTGTTACATCCTCTTTTATTTATATATATTCAGACTTTGGAATATTTTCTTTACTTTTATTTATATTTGAACTTTAGAATATTGTTAGGATTTGAGATTTGTGAACTCATAGATATGTAATATGGTGTGTTTTGGTCTTATTTTGGTTATATTTTACGTATCTTATTGTTTAAGAAGTTAGTTTCAATTATTTTTTCAAAATTTGATAGAATCTTACGATTCACGATTCGATTCTACAATTCCGATTCTACGGAGCCCAAAACAATTCTACGTAGAATCCCAATTTTAACAACCTTATCACAGATCAATCTGTTGCAATACCAAAAGTAATATCGGATATCTTTTCCTAAATCTCAACATCAGTTATGTGTTTGCAATATTTATCAAAATGCTGCAAAGAATTTGAGTCATGTGTTTCATGTAGAAAAAAAATTTGTTCATAATCTTGGAAACTGTGTGTACGATTATAATTTGATTAAATTTAGAGAAAATTTGGAAACACATATAAAGTATAGCTTTCAAGAATCTCTACTCGATAGCTGATCGTAAGTCACGTCCTGTTCCAGAATCTCAAAACTTTCTGTCCCCATACAATCGTCCTCCCAAAGATTCAAGTTAAGGTGTAGGCGGGCTGATAACTCTATCGGCATCCAAAACTTTCAGTTTATTTGGCATCTAAAAATTTCAAGAATTCACTACAGCATCAACCTAAAAGTTTAGATGCCAAATAAATCTTGAACTGAACAAGGCCTAATGGGGCTGCTGGATTTTTAATTGAGTTCGGGATGCCTTTTGCTGGGCCGCAAATAGACCCAAGACACTTTTGGTTTTTGATGACCCGGCCAGGGCCAATTAAAACGTGTCATCAATTCCTTAGCAGATATGGCCTGAAAAAAAAAAGTTGCTTGTTTATGTCTACAATTTTGGAAGTCACTTAAGCAATCACAAACGAAAATGAAGATAAAATTAAAACCATTACAATATAAGACACTGACCAATAAGTTTCTTAATATATAAGTTACAACGTGAGAGAAGCATGCCATTAATCGCCAGAGAACTTGGCACTAGAAAACTGACAGGACCCAGAAATTCAAACACGCAATCCTGGCATATACACACACAATACTAGGTACTCCAACACAATAAATTAACAGCCACATACTAGTGGTACGTGCATATCATAATCAATACATAATCAGGATTCTTGATGAGCCTTCAACTATTTTCGTATCTTAGGTATAAGGTACATTGGGTCTTTCTTTAGCATGGTCACATCCAGGATCTCATTCATGTCAATCTCTGAGGGTTTCACGTTGCCCGGAAGAAACCAATCGAAGTGGTGGACTAAAGAAGCTACCAGTAGGGGAACTACCCTTGAAGCCAGTGGTAGTCCAGGACACATCCTCCTCCCTGAACCAAATGGTATGTATTCGAAATTAATCCCCATGTAGTTCAACCCGGACTTGAGAAATCGCTCGGGTTTGAAGCTCGACGGATCGTCCCAAATAGTGGGGTCTCGAGCAATTGCCCACATATTCACCAACACGTGACTATCCTTTGGAATGGTGTAGCCCATCACCTCACATTCTTGTACGGCGCGATGAGGTAGGAGCAGTGGTCCAGGAGGGTGCAACCTTAGTGTCTCCTTAACACATGCTTCTAGGTAAGGCAAGTCAGACAAATTCGATTCTCGTATTGTGTCATCACCGACCACTGTTGTTAGTTCATTGCGAAGTTTCTCCATGGTTTCTTGATTTCTAAGTAGTTCGGTGAGTGCCCATTCAGTCGTTGCACTAGTAGATTCTATACCAGCACTAAATAGCTCCCATAGAAGAATGAATATGTAAGTTTTCACGTAGCCAAAACGCAGTACATGTATATGTTATGAGTGTGTGTATATACGATGAAATCAAAGTGATGAATGTCCACAAGAGAGAATTACTTTGAATCCACACAAATTATAAGAGAACTCTAAAAATATTGTGTATATATATATATATAACCTAAGCTAAAAACAAATTCAAAATTAAACTATTTTTAAAAATTATGAAAAAAAATAAGATTAGAATCTAATTACTAAAAATTACTGAATACCAAAAATTAAAATAATTCGAATTCGTTTAGACCACCAAAAAAAAAAAAAATCTGAAATATTATACAGTCTTCTTGTAAGACAAAAAAACACGTGATTTCAGGACTGTAAATGATAGAATTAAGCCAAAAACTATGTGACGAGCATAAGTGTGGGTATTGATTGTTTTGAGGTCGGAAATGAGTGTTTTCAAGTCAAAATGGGTTGGTTAAAATTGTTCAAAAAATTGTTTCAGCTCACCCGTTCAGCTTCTGGTTGTTCAAACAGTCTCCACAATTATTCATACATATAGAGAGAGACACGCACGTCACACATGTACACATTGGTAGACTACAAAGAGCTGAGTTTCTAGTTATTAGATCGCAAGCTTCAACACGACACATGGATGCATAAATGTACTTGCCTATGTTTTTCCAAGGTAGAGAGAGAGATTCAACCAAAAAAACAAAAAGAAATCTAAGAGAACTCTAAAGATATTATATATATATGTATAAAGAAAACCAAAGCTAAAAACAAATCCAAAATTGAAGTATTTTTAAAAATTATGAAAAAAAATTAGATCAGATCGAAATCGATCTAATAATTATTAAAAATTATTGAATACCAAAAATTAAAAAAATTCCAATTTGTTTAGACCAAAAATAAAATGAGAGAGGCAGAGAGTTACCAAAAGCAATGGATTGATCTGTTCATTGGTTAACCCCATTCCAAGCAAAGCATCCATGAAATCTCGTCTACTTGAAACATCAATTAATTTCTTCCTTCTTTCTTCTACAATGTCAACCCAAACAGCAAACATTCTATCTAAGATATCCATCGCCTTCTTATAAAAGCCCTGCAAATCCCATCCACTCAAAATGGGATACAAGTCTGATAATTGTGGCACACCACCCAACTCCGCAAAGCTCCTAATGTATTGGAACATGCCCTCACCCAAACCCTTACCCTCAAAGTCTGTTAAATCAGTTGAAAAAAAAGCATTACTCAATATATTTAAAGCACACGCCAATCCTATCTCTTTTACCTTCACTATTTGGCCTGTTTTTGCACTCAAATATTTCACCAACTCATTCACTTTCTTCTCTCTCAATTCGACTTGGGATTGCATCACCTTGCTCGAAAAGACCTCCGTCCGGTAAATGTTCCTTAGGACCCTCCAATCATCATCGCACTCGTCCGTAAACACAAGATTTAAGTTGTGTAGTTTTGAGCCCTTTACTTGGAATGCATTTGCGACGACCCGCCCTGAAAGTGCGCGGTCATTGATCTTGAGGATTTCTGCAGCGGCTTCAGGGGAAGACCCGACCACGACGAGCCGTGAACCGAACCGGAGGGACATGAGGGGGCCGTGGACTTTGGCTAGCTTGGCCAGTGTGACATGGGGACTATTGCCCATTTGGAAGATGTTGCCTACGATGGGCCATGAATAGGGACCTGGTGGAAGTGGTGGTCGTTTGGATGCTGGCTTAATGCTCTTCATGATAAGAAAGGTGAAGAAGGAGAGTAGGATGAGAGAGAAGAAGAGATTGGTGTCTCCTATTGCTAGTGTTGTTAGATCCATGATGTTCTTGTTACCAATGCAACTGAATCGATTGCACCATCTCCATGGCAATAAATATGTGATATGTGGGGTCACATGATTGATTAAATTCAAATAATCTCAATTATTATGTTTATATAATTAATTAAATGCCAACTTTATTATTATTATTATTATTATGTTCACGGTGGCTCGAATATATTACGGATAAGGATGGTATACTTGCATCAATAATTGGTTGGGTGTGCAGGATCCTCTTCAGAATCTAGGAGAGGATCCTTGTCCATTATATTACACCTTTACTTTATAATAGGAGTTGTTTCTTATTGTTTAATAAGCATGATTACTCAACCACCATGAATATAATAAGAATAAAAAAGTTAGCATTTAATTAATTATATAAACAATTTAATCAATATATGCAGTGGCGGACCCATGGGTCTTGGGTGAGCTTGAGTCCCCAACAAAAAAAAAAAATTAGTATAGGTATATTTAGCCCAATGCTTAAAAAAAATAAAAAATAGTAACAGTATTAGCTCCCCTCCATTTTAATCTATTCAAACAAGCCTAATATTTAAGTCACAATTTTAAAACAAATACCTAACCAAATAAGCTCAAACCAAATAAGTCCTAAACAATTACTAAATCAAAGTACAGAGAACTCTTAAATTCTTAATCATCGCACAAATCAAAGAGCTAACTCCTTCTCTCTTTCTAAAGTCTAATCCTATTTCATCTAAAATTTTCTAAGTCTTTAATCTTTCAATTCCTAATTCCCCCTTGTTTAATATTAGTCCCCCCCATTGGCAATTCCTGGATTCGCCTTTGAATATATGTTGTTTGATTACTCAATGTATGAATAGTGATATTGTATACACAAATTTTGTAGTTTGCAAATAAAAACAAAATATGGAGCAAAAATAATATTTATTAAATTAGAAAAATTGGGACTACAATCCTCTGTAGTATTCTTTACAAAGAATAAGGTACTCCTATTCGATCTCCTTTTTGTTGGTTGGATGCTGCACGAACTTGATTTTGAATCACAATGAAATTTGGATGAAGTACGGCACAATTTGATGTGCTTGTTGTTGATTACCGTGAAATTTGATGAAGAATTGCACAAATTGAAGTGCTTAGTATTCTTCGCTTTTGGGTTTAGATGTTGGTGATGAGTATTAGCAGAGTTTCTGTATTTCTCTCTACAATTCTGAATTTCTGAATTCTTAATTTGTATCCCTTCCTACTTCCTCCAGGCCTCTATTTATAGGCTTTTTGGATTCTATAGGATGGTGACACTTGTCCTCTCCTGATAAGGATAAAATCATAACTGAGCCGGGCCGGTTATATTATGATAATTATCCTTAAAAATAATTATTCCAAATATATTTTATTAAGAATAATTATTTTTTTATTTAACCATCTGAGCTGGGCTAATTAAATAATTTAAGTAGACCAAACTTAGGACCATTAAATAACTTAATTAAACATTAGACTCATATTTAATGTGTCAATTTGTCAAAACAAAAGTTCATTAAAATTTTAGTATCTACAGATATAATTACCAATTAATATATTATAATCATAATTCAACTAAAAAAACTATATATTTACGCTAGTTGGTACTAAAAGTTGCAAGTTTTCTATTTATTTGGGATACATCATTTATAGGCAAAAAAAGTAAGATACTGGATTTTTAAATTTTTTATTTATATTTATTTTATGATTTATAGTTGTTAAGATTGATTTTTTATTATTATTATTAAGCAACAACCATTAATTACCGAAGCAGATTTAATGGTTAAATGCATGGATTTTATGAGGAATAAATTCATGGCTCTGATACCAAAGTTAAGAGAGGGGATCGATTATACTAATAACAATAACAGTTGATAATAATAAATGTTGCCACAAAAAGGATGATTCCTTGGAGTGAAATAACATTTCCTGAACATTGGATAATTTCTAATGCAGTACCAGCAAAACCCATTGCTAACCATAGCTTGGATTGTGTTATTCAGGACCAGGATGGTGATATTTTTTTGAATTTCAGAAAATCATTAGATCTACCCAGATCTACATCATCTAAAGGAAGTCATCTTCCTTATCATGTTTCTTGTCCTCCTTCTCGCCATTCGATCTCGTCGGATTACAGAAAGGAAGATCTCCCTCCTGAAGTAGTTGGTTCCAATCACCTCAAGCTGAAAGGAATACAGCAATCTCATAATCAAATTCCAAGAGGAGTCTACGAGAAAGCACCAATAGGTATGTCTCGTCGCCAATTTGGAATTAAATTCAGCCCAACTCCATCAGAAATGGGAATCGGAAATGAATCTGTCAAGGATCAATTTGATGATCCTACAGACATAAATGACCCTCATGAATATTAGTTTTAATGGATTTTGTCCCAGATAGAATTGCCATTAATACTAAATTTCAACAGGATCAATATAAAGAATTCAGAAATTGGTATTTTAAAGCTTTTGATCACAATCAATTACAGCTTTTTAAAAATCAATTTTATGACTTTATACAAGAACGCAAAATGGTTATACCTTTTGTTTCTTGGTTTTTCATGACAAATCATTCTTTAGTTAACATAAACATATTGGATGATTTTCTCAAACCATGGACTATAACTGAAGATAAGGTTTATCACTCTGTCCATCCTCCCACTGAACATTTAATTCTGAAAAGAATTGACCTTGACAGTGGTGCAAAAGTGGAAACCAAGGCTTATAGCCAACCTAAAATAATTGATCCGTCCTGTAATGCTACTAAAAAAGACATTTCTCATATTTACAGGCAAAATAATTATACTAATGTCTGTCTGCAAACGGTAGGGTCCCAGCTTGGGAGAATTGAAACAGGAATAGACACGGTATTAAATACAATTAATACTAAGTGTATTACAGATAAGACTTCTCCTCCAGAAGCTTCCTTATCCAAAGCATTGGTAAAGCCTGCAATTGAAGTTAAAGGCTTCAATCTTACACATCCTAAGAAGAATGAAGAATTTCTTACTCTTCTTACTCAGAAAATTCAAGGACTTAAAATTCAGACTTTATCCCAAGATGAATTTGACATAGGTTCTGATTCTGATGATGTGTTACCTCATATTGAGGTTTTCCAAACTGATTTTACTCAGATGCCTGAGTTAAACAGAATTGTCTATGATAAGAATATCCACTCTAATACAGCCCCTGCTCCGAGTAGATATTATTATCCCAGACCCACACCTCAAGATATCTTGTATGAAGAAGATTATTTTCATACACAGAAATCTTTTCATGGCAAGACTATTTATGAATGGAATATAGATGACAAATCTGATTATCAGATTTACGAAGTTATTCATCAAATGTTGATGTATAGCCAAGTCTGTAAAATCAACAACAATACTGACCCAACCATTGCTAAATTTGTCGTTGCTGGTTTTACAGGAATCTTTAAAGGATGGTGGGATAATGTTCTCACTGACATTCAGAAAGCTGAAATCTTTTCTGCTACCAAGATAGTGAAAGATGAAGCTACCCAACAACCAGGTCCTGCTCCTGATGCGGTTTACACCCTCATCACCACTATTATCCAACATTTTGTTGGCCCAGAAGGTGCTAATAGTGAAAGGAGTCGTGAACTTCTACAGAATCTAAGATGTCCATCTTTAACTCATTTCCGGTGGTATAAAGATGTCTTCTTAGCAAAAGTTCTCTAACTCAATGATGCAAATCATGAACATTAAAAAAACAAAATTTATGGATAGTTTACCAACCTTTTTTAATGTTTTATTTTATTTAAATTGATATTTGTGTTGCATATTATATATATATATAGTTTATCAAATGGTGATATTTTGTCGGGCCCTCAAGTATTTATATTGCCAAAAAGTCTTTGGGCTTCGCGTGGTTTGGTCTGATGGATTGGATATTGTATTTAATTGTTTGTTGATGCTGATGGAAGAAAAAGGTAAGGAAGTAAAGTATGGGTAATAATGAACGTGGGTCCCAGAAGAGGAATTTTGATCAATTTCTTTAGGGGTGATGTTTGGTGATATTTGATATTTTGGTTTTATTGCATTATATGATGGATGTATTCTTTTTGTTCAAAAAAAAAAAAAAAAAAAAAAAAATTGTCTTGTTTGAAGAATCCTGACAGGACATTTAATTTGATATATATATATATATATATATATATCAAATGGAGAAGGTGAGCTGTGATTTTGGTCTGATGGCCTCTTGATGGATATATGATGCCTATGGAAGAAAGATGCCTATGGAAGATCTTGATGGATCACCATTCTGAGGAATGCATTATAAAGGTGGATTATTTTTTGTTCTCGTGGGTGTCACTGTAACAATTATTTTACTCCCCATAAAATAGTCATTGCCCAAACAAGAATTATTTAACTTCACAAAAACCATATATCTAAGTGCTCAAAATAAGAATTATTTAACTCAGACTTGAAAAAACATTCAATGCTCAAAATGAACTAACAGTCAAAAGCAGGAGTAAGTTTGTTAATCTTACAAAATTGAAGAAATGAACTAACAGTCTCTTCTTGTTTTGCTGTAAAAAAATAATAATAAAAAACTTCTTTATTATTAGTAGTAGTAGTATTATTTACAATAAAAGAATATGAATCAAACACCAATATAAGCATATTTTAAAATAAAAATCAAAAGGTATATTTTATAAAAAGGTAATTTAAAAGTGAAACAGAGCAAACTTTAAATTTAAAATAGAATATTTAAAAAAAATGTTATTGAAATAAAACTAAAATAGAAAATAGTGATATTTTTTTTCAGACAGATAAACTTTTGCTCATCCTAGAGAATCTTATTGAAGTAATACTGAAATAGAATATTTAAAAACATTATATTGCAAACCCAATTAAAATAATTTAAAAATTTTTAATCTTATTCTCAAAACCTTTAATATTTACATCAACATCTTTTAAAACAATTTTCAACACCTTTTAAATTTTATGTCAACACTTTTTAATCTAGTTTACAATACCTTTAATCTTTACCTTTAACACCTTTTAATTTTGTTCTCTATAACTTAAATTTTTTCCTCAACACTTCCTAATTTTGTTCTCAACTGTACATCTTAATCATGTCTTTAACAATTTTAATTTTTATTTCGATGCCTTTTAATCTTTTTTTTTTTTATTTTTTTATTTTTTTTTAGAGTTAAAGGTAAACTTTTGTATATATATATATGAAAGAAGAGAGAATATACACGAGAGCACAAGAGGCTCCCCAAGCGAATACTACTGGCACAAGGCCACAAAAGCACAGAGAGCAGCTAACAGAACAAAAAGTATCAAGAATCAACATTAGATTAAAATCAAAATTCCGCAGCAAACCTTTGATTTTGTTATCAAGGCTTTTTAATCTTTACCTTAATTTCATTTAATTTTGTTCTCAATACTATTAATCTTTACACCTCAACACCTTAAATCACTTTAATTGAGTTTGCCATTTAATCTTGTCATCAACTTTAATCCTTATCTCAACTCTTTTAATCTTTACCTCAATGCCATTTAATTTTGTTCTCAACACCATTAATCTTTACCTCAACAACTTTTAACTCTGTTCTCAACACTTTTTTAAAATAAAACTTTTAAAAATGTTTTTGAAATAAAACTAAGATAGAAGATATTGATTCAATCGATTTAATTATGTTCAATTTTAGTTATTTATCATATGGAGCTAAAGTGCTTGTTTTTTTTCTAGTTTTGATAAACGTTAATGATTTGAACTATTTTGATGAATTTGTTATTCTTACCATGTTGCTCATAAACATATTTTTCATAACTAGGATGAATCCCATTTAACGGAACCAATGATCATGAGAAGGATAAAACTAGTGTGACTCCTGACATGAGCTTGGGTAATGAATACATAAATAGGATGTATCCAATTAAATGGAACTAATGACGATGAGAAGGATAAAAACCTGACAGAGAACAATACAATATAGCTGATTTATTTGAAAATTATACCGATGGTAAGGTTCTTCATCATTAAGTCCTATAGCGAGGATGATGTGCACAAGAGCATCAAGTAAGTACAATGTGTGGGCTAGAACACCAAATAGCAATAAAAAGCTTGATGCAGCATACTAAGAAGCTCAGCAGAAGTCTTGTGGCCGCCGTGTTTTTCTTGTCTTCTCTGTAAGCATTCTAATATAGCTAGTTTTCAGTCCTCGCGGAGTTTTTGAGAACGAGGTAGCGAAGATAATGATTGACCAAGGAGATGGCAGAGGGAGACAATATATTTTGATTTTATTTATTTTTAATAATATACCATTAATACTATTGGTTTGTTCCGTTTTATTTTTAAATTAATTTTTAAAAAAACACTCCTTAAATGGCATTGTTTGTACTACAACATGGTACAAGACCCATTATTTGCACTACAATATAAATACAACAAGATCCGTTTACAACAGAGAATCTAAATGGTTAGGTTTTGACCATTTCCTTTTACATTTTTTTAATTAAATTTATTTATTTATTTATTTATTTTTCATATAAGAATAAAGAATGGATCAGAAGACTCTCCGAACACACTTAGACATTTATTTATTTATTTATTTTCTGTTTGGATAAATTTGTAACTATCATTTATTGCTAGTACCAAGATTCACTACCATTATTGACTACATACAAACAAGTGAAACTACCATACAATATTTGTTGACTGACATACAGAAAGTCGTGCCCCTTATCAGTTATCACAAGACAACTGTGTCACTATAATAATTACAATTATCAAGACATTCACAAGAACAATAGTGATATATATATATATATATATATCTATATATATATATATATATTGAGAAAGTCTATAATACTTTAGCGTAGTATAGGTGGCACCGCCAATCTAACGAATAGACATCAAACTTCAATTTGTTTTAACACAAGTTTTTCATGGGTTGAAGTACAGAAAATACCCCTGAAGTATGCTTATAGTGCATATCACACTCCTCACGTGCAAAAAACACCCCTCAAGTTTCAATTTGGTGCAATTAGGTCCCTTAACACATTTAAAATCTAAATTAACCAAATTACCCTTATTGAATAATTTTATAAAATATATAAAAATAATTTTTTTTTTATAAAAAGATCGAAAAGGACCTTGCACACCCTAACTATTTGCATCATTAGAGGGCCTTTGAAGTGGACGCCAATTCCCATGTTTCTCGAAGAACTCATCTAAACCCCCTATAACAAACCTACAAAAAAGTAACTCAAACCCAAAAACCATATGCATATGTGTGTAAGGTGTGTATATGTGTATGGTAGGCGACTGTTAGAATGAGAGAGGGGGGAGAGAGAGAGAAAAAGGTAGCCTAGTTGGAAAAACAAAAAAATGGACCAGTCGCCGGCAGTAACCAGTCCCGATGAACCCATCTGAGCAACAAGGGAAAGTGTTGTGCGTGAATAGCACTGTCGATTCCTCAGGCCGTCCCTACTCTTCCTCCAGACGACGTTGAGCCACGATGCGGATGACGAGCCAGAACTGATGATGAAACCCGCGATTCCGAGCCAGAATTGAGAAATTGGTGATTGAGAGAGAGATTTGAGAACTGCAAGATGAAAGTCTTCACCGACAACGTCCCCAGCAACCAATCCACCACGATCGCCGACGCGTCGGACATGAACGCGAAGTACTGCCCTTCGAGATCGACGTGTAATGTCACCACTACCGTAACTATCGTAGTATCTGAAGTATCATCGTCATCCTTCCTCATCGCCATAGTCCCTGTCATCTTGTAGCTAATATGGTTAGGTTTGTGCTCCGCTTACTCTACATACACTGTGAGCATGTATGTATATCAATATAAAAATGATTCTTTGGTAATGGGTTATAACATAATCTATATATATGAAGCACATACATGTAAATTGACTAAACAGAGAACAAAGGACAAAAAATTGTCAACTAGTGGAAATGAGAGCTCAGCTAGGCTTAATAGACATAGAAAATACCAAGAAAAAAAAAAAAAAAAAATCAACGAGGATCAAACAAATATAAATTCATATGCATACTGAAATTGCAGAAGTACACACATTTAACATATATATATATATATATATATATATATATATATACATTACTTTAAAAAAAAAAACATATATATTCATATGCCGACATATAGAAATAAATAAATACACATACACATTTAGCATAAAATTAATTTTTTAGAGAAGTATTGAAGAATCAAACTTGGTGAAGAGAGTAGAGAAGAAAGCGAACCGCTGAGAATCGAAGGAGATGACTTGTATCTTCATATGAATATTAAAATTGATTCGATCAGTTTTGCGAAGACCACTGAGCTAAACCCGATCACCCAAATCAAATTAATGATCGACTGAGCTCGGCTGACCGACAGCGGCTCAGAGGGTCTGAACGGCTGGCAAGGCGGTGACGGACCGGCGAGGATGAAGATGGCCGGCGAGCAAGGAGAAGCTCGCACAGAACTGATGGGGGGCCGAACTCTCCACGGCCGATCCTCACCACCGCTTCCTCACTGGAAAAGGCAAATCCACGCCGCCGTTCTTAACGCTGGCTGCGGCGGAACCGGCGAGCTTGGAGGGACTCTCGACGACGAACTGCAGTGGCTGACTTGGCAGAAACTGGCGGTGAGAGGAAGGATTGACGGCAGCTGCTTGGGACTGGCATTTTCATCCGTATGTATAGCTCGGACCAATAGTCTCGTCATGTTGTTATGCCCAAGGTTATGGAATTCTTTCTCTTGTAGCCGTAGAATCGTCAAGGGAGGAAGTTCCAATGGAAAGGTATATGGAAGGATGATTGCATGGGCATTTTAGAAAGGACAAAAGGGTAAAATGGGTATTACAATACTAATTTATGTCAAATTTATGACAAAGGGGTAATTTTGCACAATTTCAAAAGATTAGGGGTGTTTATTGCACACTTTTTTAAATAGGGGGTAAAAGTGCTACGAAAAGTATACTTCAGGGGTGTTTTCTGCACTTTCTCCTTTTTCATGTGATATATAGATATTGAGAAAGAAAATAAAAGTTTTTCATGTCTTTCTATTTGGTGTAATTATTTCGGAGGATTGTATACTTTCTCATAGATATTATAACAACGTGCAGAAGCCGTGACCAATGAACACACACTTAGAAGTCTTGGTCAGTCTTCAACTGATTTCGTATCATTGGAATAACATGCACTAGTTCTTTCTTTTGCATACCCAGATCGAAGATCTCATTCACACAATCTCGGCAGGTTTCATGTTGCCGGGAAGGAACCAATCAAAATGATGGACAAATGAACCAAGAACTAGAGGAAGTACCTTTGAAGCCAAGGTTGTCCAGGGCACATCCTCCTTCCTGAACTAAGTGGCATGTATTCGAAATTTATCCCATTGTAGTCTAACTCTGAGTTGAGGAATCGCTCGGGTTTGAAGCTCAGTGGATCGTCCCAAATGGTAGGGTCTCGGGTAATTACCCAAATATTCACCAGCACTTGACTGTCCTCAGGAATGGTGTAGCCCATCACTTCACATGTTTGGACGGCGCAATAAGGTAGGAGCAGTGGTGCGGTAGGGTGTAACCAAGGTGTCTCCATGACACAGGGTTCCAGGTAAGGTAATTCAGACAATTTCGATTCTCTTACTGTGTCTTTACCTATCACTTCTGTAAGTTCATTGCGAAGTTTATCCATGACGTACCTCTTGGTTTCTAAGAAGTTCTGTAATTGCCCATTCAGTCGTTGCACTTGTAGATTATGTACCGGCACTAAATAGCTCCTTGAGAAGAATGAATATATATAGTATTATTCATAAGGCAAAACATAGTATATGTTTGAAGGTACCAAAAAATAGCTTGGGCCGGATATGACCAATCTTACTAAAGAACGGATTGGGAGAGAAAAGTGGATCTATGGATGGCAAATTCCCCATCCCCGCCGGGTCCCTGCCTCATTTATGGCGGGGATGGGGACCCTTTTATCTAAACGGGGATGGAGATAGGGATAAACTTTGAAAACTCGCCGGGGTTGGGGATGGGGTAAACCCGCCCCGCCCCGATTATGGTATGAATTTACTAAGATACCCTTACACGTGTTATTATATTTACCAAACTAGCCTATACTCTCTCTCTATATATATATACCATAGATGTTAAAACCCTAAAACTAATTCCAAATGAGATCCGCCGCCTCTTTCTTTCCTTCTTCTCGCTTTCTCCTCCTAATCGACAACAACATGGCTTTTCCCCGTCCTTTCCTAATCCGTCTCCGGCATCGGCTCTTTCCCCTCATTCCGAATCTGTCACCGGCATCGACTCTTCCCCCCCACCGGCGTCGGCTTTCCCCGTCTGATTCCATATCTAATTTTGTTCATATGCATATGCAAGTGTGTGTGTGTGTATATATATATATATATATATATATTTTCTGATGTGGTTGGTTATGTGTGTATCTATATATATATATATATTGGGGGCGATTTTTTTTTTCCACTGTGAATCTGTGATATTGAGAAAGGAAAGCTTATATACATATTGGGGGCGATTTTTTTTTTTTCCCTTTGAATTTGTGATATTGAGAAAGGAAAGCTTAATCAGGGGCGGCGCGGGGACGGGACGGGGAAGATGGTGGCGGGGACGGGGGGCGGGGATAGGGGTGGGATTGAAATTTTTAATGGGTATGGGGGTGAAAATTTTGGCCGGGGATGGGGATGGGGAATGAGATCCCCGCCCCACCCCGCCCCGTTGCCATCCCTAAGTGGACCCGATCGAATAACAGCCCAAGAGGCCCAATCTCCATGAAGATAATCGACAAGCCCAAACTAAAAGGAAAAAAATGAACCAGCACTAAAAGAAAAGCCCAAAAGATCAGCCCAACATAAAAGATGAAAAAGGAAGCTTCTAGAGCAATTGTAAAAGTCTATAAATAGAGTAAAAAGAGAGGGAAAAATGGGTTAAGATATTTTGAAGTGTAAGGAATTAGTTTTCCAAATAGAGAGAATATTTTTCATTGCATCTTCAATGGCATCGTCTGTGGGAAACGAATGAGAAATCCAGTTGATCCTCAAGTACGTTGCGAGCAAATTGATCATTATCTCGGAGGATTAAGTTAGATCTGCGAATATCAAGGTTGGATCTATGGAAATTGAAGCTTGATTTCTGGAAATCGAATTCTGATCTGTGGAGATTGCGATCTGTTATACGGAGATTCGATCCTGATTGACGAAGGCCAAATCTGACAAATTCACAATAGAGAAGGTTCAGATCTAATCGACAGAGATCGGAATTTGGCCAGGCGAGGGCCAGATCTGACGAATTCATGGTTAGATAATTCAGATCTGTTTAAGATTCAACAGTTGATAACTCTGCTTCGATCAGGAACGATGATCGGAGGTGAAAGTTCCTATCCACAAGAAAGTGACAACATGCAAAGCTTGATGAGTTAATGAGCTTGATCGAGGCTTTAAGAAGAGAAAATGCAAAATTGAGAGCCAGAATGGAGCAGTGAGACGCTCTGGCAATTCCACAACCGCTTCCAGCAGGAGAAAAAATTCTGCCGCCAAATGTTGTTTGCTAGGATGAACAAGAAGGAAACGTTCACTTGAATCTGCACCGTGAAGAGTTCAGGTTAGAGGTTTTTCCACCGAATGTCCATCATCTGGAAGATCAGGAAGGATCTGTCCGTCTAGATCCACACTGTGAAAGGATCAGGCGAGAGGAAGCCATGGAGTTCGATCACAATAAGGCTATGCCGTCATGGCAGAGGGAGTTAACTGAAGAAAGGTCATTCGATCCAATCTAGCTACCGTCCGTTAATAGCCACGTATAACTATAGGAATTCAAGCAAGAGATATGTTGAGCCAAAGATACTCCCGAAGGAAAATGAAGCCCTCCGCATGGCGGCTCGGACTGCCAATTCACCGTTTACAGATGAGATCTTGAATGCTCCAAGAAATTCTCCATGCCAGTCTTCACTTTTTTAGATGGAACGAGTGATCCGATCGAACATATTTATCACATTCAACTAAAGATGGCTCTAAATACAGAAAATGATGCTCTGATGTGCAAAGTGTTCCTTACGAGCCTTACCTGATTGGTAACCGGTTCAAGAACTTGGCAAGAGGATGGGTGGAAAGCTTTCAGAACCTGTGCGACAAATTTATAAGCCAATATTATGGAAATAAACGGTCGGCCAAAGACATATCGAGTTTGTTTACAATGAAACAGCTAGAAGGCGAACGTCTCCAAGCTTTTCTCATTAGATTTAACCTAGAAAAGAGGATGGTGATAGAGTACCATCCATCCACAGCGGTTCAAGCATTCAAACTAGCCATGAACCGAGGAACACTGTTCTACACAAATCTAGTGGTGAATACGCCTGAACAAAAGGGCTGATAGTTTTATGTGCTTAGAAGAAGAAAAAGCAGCCAACGCAAGGAAGCCATCAATGGTCACGGTGGGAGAAAAGACCAGAACAAAGCTCGGTCAAAAGCAAGTTGCACCATAACATTCGACCCCCTGGAAAGTAGAAAAGAGGCATAGGGAGGACAAATTGATCACTTCACTTAAATTCAGCCTGGCGCGGTTATTCCAAGAAAATAAAGATAAGTTTCGCCCTCCCCAACCGATCAGGCAACCGTTTGAACAAAGAGATCAATCCAAACATTATGCTTTTCATAGTGATTTCGGACATCTAACTAATGAATGCAGGAATTTAAGACGACATGTAGAGATGTTGATAGCAAAGGGAGATTTCGCTAGTTACATTCAAGGCCAGCAGTAGAGCAAAATCAACCGACTGAGCAAGTAAAGAGAAATCAGAGGCCGAATAGCGCTCAACCTGTTCGTATCATAAATGTAATACATGGCCGGCCCGAGTCAGCCGAAGAGTCAGAAGAGTTGCTCCGAACGCGTCTTCGTCAAGCACAAATGACGAAAAGGATAAGCAGTGTAAACGCTCTGCACCATCACAATAGTTCAGTTCAGATAAGGTTTAATAGAACGAATCTGTTACGAATTCAGATCCATTACAAAGATCCCCTAGTTATTAGCCTACTGGTAGCAGAGTGCCTGGTTCAAAGGGTCTTGATTGATCCAGGGAGCAGTGCAAACATCATGACAAGAGTAGCGTTCGAGCGGCACGGGATTGATCCAGAAAAGCTCAAACCCACAGGAATCGACTATTAGGATTTGATGAAAAGTGAGTGGAGCCCATCGAGATGGTTGAATTGCCGTTTTTGCTGCCGATAGGGAGTTGATTGAAAGCTTTATGGTCGTTAAGATTCATCCGTCTTATAATCTCTTGATGGGAAGAGGGTGGATTCACAGGATCCAAGGTGTCCCCTCGACTTTGCACCAGGTAATGAGGTGCATGAGCCGAGATGGAAGCAAAGTGATTGATATACATGGAGACCAGGTGGTAGCAAAGGAGTGTTATTCTGTAACCCTGAAGGCCGGTGGGAAGGAAAAAGCACCCATTAGATCTGCTAGCCCATGATAGCAATTACAGGGTCCTCCACCCAAAGAGTTTGGGGAGGAGGAAGAACCTTCGATCCTTACTGAAGAGCCCCTTGTGGATGTACAGATTAATCCTCTGAGAATAGACAGAACCACAAGAGTAGGGTCAAGGCTTGCAGAGGAGGAGAAACGGCAGTTGGTTGATTTCTTATTTAAGAATGCGGACGTGTTTGCCTGGAGCCACTCAGACATGCCAGGAATCAATCCCTCTATATCATGTCACTCTCTCAATATAGATCCGAACGTCAAGCCTGTAAGACAGAAGCAGAGGAGGTTCGCTCCATAGCGCAATCGAATCATAACCGATGAAATTGATAGATTGCTGGAGGCAGGGTTCATCAGGAAGGTTCAGTACCCATCTTGGCTCTCAAACGTGGTGGTAGTACAGAAGAAGAATGGGAAATAGAGAGTTTGTATTGATTTCACTAACCTGAACAAAGCTTATCCAAAAGATAGTTTCCCTTTACCGAAGATTAATCAAATGGTAGATGCCACTACTGGGTATGAACGTTTAACTTTTCTGGATGCTTACTCATGTTACAATCAGATTCCTATGGATCCGAACGATGAGGAAAAAACCTCCTTTGTAACCGAATGAGGGATTTATTGCTACAAGGTCATGCTGTTCAGACTGAAGAATGCTGGAACCACTTACCAAAAGTTAGTCAACAAGATTTTTAAAAATCAAATGGGTAAAACTGTAGAAGCCTATATTGATGATATGGTAGTCAAAAGTAAAAAGAAGGACCAACATTTGCTACACTTACAAGATATGTTTGAGGTGTTGAGGAAGTACGGCATGAAACTCAACCCAACTAAATGTTCATTTGGGGTGGGATTCGGACAATTCCTGGGACACGTAGTTAACAACAGAGGGATCGAAGTCAGCCTAGCTCAGGCTGAAGCTTTGATAAAGAATGCAAAACCAAAAACCGTTAAGGAGGTTCAGGCGCTCATCGGACTGATAGCGGCACTAAGTCGATTCATTTCTAAATTGTCAGATCGATGCAAACCGTTCTTTAACATAATAAGACGTTACGGGAGGCAAGCCTAGGGGGATGAGCAACGACAGGCGCGAACCAAGTTAAAAAAGTATATGCAGAACTCTCCAATCTTGTATGCCCCGAAAACCAGGTAAGAAGTTTTTCATGTATCTTGGGGTATTGAGCATTGTGACAAGTGTTGTTCTGGTATGAAGCGAAGAAGGAAAGCAATTCCCAGTTTTCTACGTTAACAAAACAATGGCCGATCCAGAGAGAAGGTATTCAAAGGCCAAGCGAGTGATCCTATCATTGGTGAATGCAAAGAGGAAACTTAGGCATTACTTTGAGTCCTATCCTATCATCGTTCTTACCACTTTTCCTATAAGGATTATCCTGCATAATCCATATCTGTTAGGAAGAATGACAAAGTGGGCCAACATATGAACCCCAAACGGCCGTAAAAGGCCAAGTAGTGGCTAATTTCTTGCTTGAAAGCGATATGAAAGATGTGGAAGAAAACCTCGGGGATCAATCGTGGAAGCTTTTCGTTGATGGGTCTTCTAACCAAATGGGGGCAGGAGTGGGAATCAAGCTGTTGACCCAGAAGGCATAACACTATGTCAAGCTATCAGACTAGAGTTCAGAACAACTAATAATGAAGCAGAATATAAAGCATTATTAGTAGGTCTGAGACTAGCTAAAGAGTTGAAGGTTAAGAGTTTAACTGATTTTAGTGATTCGTAGCTAATTGTTAGGCAGGTGACTGGGGAATATGGTACCAAAAATGAAACAATGGAAGCATCTCGTTCTGCTGTTATGAAAGAAACAAAAAGCTTTGATTAAATCAAGTTCACCCAGCTGCTAAGAGAAGACAATGAGGATGTCGATCGGCTAGCTTGCAGTGCATCAAGTCCTAGAGAGTCGCTGACGAGGGTGATTCCAGTTGATGTGTAATATCAACCCTTCATCTTTGAGGAACCACTCAGCTCAGATCCTATGCAAGTAAATGTCATACCTTATGAGCCATGCTAGATTGATCTAATCATGATTTTCATAAGAGATGGTGTGTTGGCCGAGCAAAAAGACAAAGCAAGGAAAATCAGATCAAATGCTACGAAATATGCCATTATCCATAATCAGTTGTATAAGAGATATTTCTCAGTTCTATATTTGAAATGTGTCACCCCCTCAGAGGCAAGGCAGATTCTACGAGCTATTCATGAGGGGGTATATGGTAACCACTCAGGAGGAAGATCCTTGGTACATAAGGCAATGACACAAAGATATTTCTGGCCGAACATATCGTTAGATGCAGAAGAATTCTCCAGGAGATGTGATAAGTGCCAAAAGTACGGACCACTGATCCACCAACCACCTGAAGATTTGCACATAAGGGCCAAACCATGGCCTTTTGCATAATGGGGGATGGATGTGGTTAGCCCTCTACCAAAGGCGAGATCACATAACAAGTACGTTCTGCTTGCGATGGATTATTTCACCAAATAGATAGAAGCCGAACCGTATCCTAGTTTGACCTAAACTCAAGTAAGAAGCTTCATCTGGAACAATATCATTTGTCATTTTGGTGTGCCGAGATCAATTGTTATGGACAATGGAATCAATCTGGACAGTAAGCAAGTAAGGAACCTGCTAGAAGAATATGGAATCAATTAAAAGTTAGCCACAGTTAGCTATCCACAAGCAAACGGTCAAGCTGAAATCACAATCAGGACAATTTTTGCCTGTATCAAGAAAAAGCTTAAGGCCAAGAAGGGCAAATGGTTAGACGAGCTTCTGAATGTCTTGTGGGCTTATAGAACA